TTTTTTTTTTTTTTTTTTTTTTTTTTTTTTTGAGATGGAGTTTCACTCATGTTACCCAGGCTGGAGTGCAATGGCGCGATCTCGGCTCACCGCAACCTCCGCCTCCTGGGTTCAGGCAATTCTCCTGCCTCAGCCTCCTAAGTAGCTGGGATTACAGGCACGCACCACCATGCCCAGCTAATTTTTTGTAGTTTTAGTAGAGACGGGGTTTCACCATGTTGACCAGGATGGTCTCGATCTCTTGACCTCGTGATCCACCCGCCTCGGCCTCCCAAAGTGCTGGGATTACAGGCTTGAGCCACCGCGCCCGGCCTAGGAGAATATTTAAAAACTTAAAGTAAAGCTCCTTGAATATTTTATTTCAAATCACTTCACCTCATTTGTGAATAAGCGCATGGATATAGGCATATAGGATTTTCATTCAAAACAGGGTTATGTAACAATTCTGCTTTGAAATCTACCTGTTTCATCTAACCAAATATAGTGAACAAATTTTCATGTCACCAAATTATGAACTCTGTCATAATTTTTTTTTTTTTTTGAGACGGAGTTTCGCTCTTGTTACCCAGGCTGGAGTGCAATGGCGCGATCTCGGCTCACCGCAACCTCCGCCTCCTGGGTTCAGGCAATTCTCCTGCCTCAGCCTCCTGAGTAGCTGGGACTACAGGCACGTGCCACCATGCCCAGCTAATTTTTGTATTTTTAGTAGAGGCGAGGTTTCACCTTGTTGACCAGGATGGTCTCGATCTCTTGACCTTGTGATCCACCCGCCTCGGCCTCCCACAGTGCTGGGATTACAGGCTTGAGCCACCGCGCCCGGCATCTGTCATAATTTTTTATGGCTGCTGTTTTGTTTAGATAGGTAAGTTATTTCCAGCTTTTTCCCATTATATGCAATGTTTTACTGCATATGCCTTTCTGTACACAGATGGAACTGTATCTTTTTAGGTAGCGTCTCAGATATTTTGCTGAGTTAAAACCTGCTGGCTGGGCGTGGTGGCTCACGCCTGTAATCCCAACACTTTGGGAGGCTGAGGTGGGTGGATCATGACGTCAGGAGTTTGAGACCAGCCTGGCCAATGAGGTGAAACCCCATCTCTACTAAAGATACAAAAAATTAGCTGGGCGTGGTGGCAGACGCCAGTAGTCCTAGCTACTTGGGAGGCTGAGACAGGAGAATCCCTTGAACCTGGGAGGCAGAAGTTGCAATAAGCCAAGATCACACCATTGCACTCCAGCCTGGGCAACAGGGAGAGACTTGTCTCAGAAAACAAACAAACAAAAAAACCTGCTTACACATCTTTATCAATTGCTCTAAGTTTGCACCAATATACAACATAATATGAGACTGTCTATTCACTACTATATGGTATCATTCGTCTGTTATTTATTTATTTATTATTTTGAGATGGATTCTTGCTCTGTCACCAGGCTGGAGTGCAGTAGCACAATCTCGGCTCACTGCAACCTCTGCCTCAGCCTCCTGAATAGCTGGGACTACAGGCGTGCACCACCACACCTGGCTAATTTTTTGCATTTTAGTGGAAACAGGGTTTCACCATGTTGACCAGGATGGTCTTGATCTTCTGATCATGATCCACCTTCCTGAGCCTCCCAAAGTGCTGGGATTACAGGCATGAGCCACTACACCTAGCCATCATTAGTCTTTTAAATCCACCAATCCAGTGGAAATTTTGTTTATTTAAATGAATTACCCATGCACAGGTTTCATTCAGTGTAGTAAAATATGGGCTTCAGAAACAAAAATCAGACTTGGAAGAAAATTGGTTTTGTAGTTAAAAAATGTGATTTTAAAAATACAAATATTCAACTTATTTTGAGTGTGTATGGCTCATACCTATAATCCCAGCACTTTCAGAGGCTGAGATGGGTGGAACACTTGAGCCCAAGAGTTTGAGAACAGCCTGGGCAACATGTGAAACTGTGTATCTACTAAAAATACAAAAAATTAGCTGGATGTGGTCACGCACATGTAGTCCTAGCTACTTGGAAGGCTGAGGTGGGAGATCACCTGAGCCCCAAGGAGGTTGAGGCTGTAGTGAGCCATGATTGTGTCACTGCACTCCACCTTGAGTGTTGGAGTGAGACCCTGTCTCAAAAAAACACCAACAAAAAACTCTTAAAATTGAGAGAAAGACCCAAAAACCTGATAGAAAAAAATGGGTAAAAGAAATGAACACATGAAATCACACACACACACACACACACACACACACACACACACAGAGAGAGAGAGAGAGAGAAAGAGAGACAGAGAGAGAGAGAGAGAGAGAGACAGAGAGAGAGAGAGAAAGCACAAATCTTAAAATTATCCCTTACTGACTTTAAAAAAAAAATAAACCCATGCAACCACCATTAAGGACATAGAAACTTTCCAACATCCCAGAAGGCTCCCTCATTTCTCTTCCCAATCATTACACCTCAAAGTTAACCATTATTTTGACCTCTCTAATAGAACTGTTTGGTCTAGTTTTAAACTTTATATAGATTGAATCATAGTATGTACTCTTGTGTTTGGCCTCCTTTTTTCAACATTATTTCTGTAATGTTATATCTATATACAGATATAACATATAAGATAGATATAACATCTTTCCCTCGATTTTAAGAGTTTTTTGAGATGCAGTCTCACTCCAACGCTTAGGTTGGAGTGCAGTGACACAATCATGGCTCACTATAGCCTCAACGTCCTTGGGCTCAGGTGATCTCCCATCTCAGCCTCCCAAGTAGCTAGGACTACAGGTGTGTCACATATGTATCTATATATAGCTATAACATTATATAGATATAACGTTATATCCATGTTGCTGTACATAGTAGTAGTTTGTAATTTAACCTCTTTTTTTGTTTTGAGACAGATGTCATTCTGTAGTCCAGGCTAGAGTGCAGTGACACTATCATAGCTCACTGCCAACTCAAACTCCTGGTCTCAAGTGATCCTTCCTATCTGAACTTTTTACCTGTTAGCCAGCATTTTCCCTTCCCTATGCACCACATCCACCCCCAAGTCTTTGATAACCACCCTCCTACTCTCTACTTCTAAGAGTTCAACTTTTTAGATTCCATATATAAGTGAGATTATACAGTATTTATCTCTCTGTGCCTGGCTTATTTCACTTAACATAGTATCTTCCAGGTAAACCTAGAAGGTTTACCTATGTTGTTGCAAATGACCGAATTTCATATTTAAGGCTAAATACTATTCCACACTGTGTGGAATACTATTTCTCCATTTAAAAAAATCCATTGATGGATGCTTAGCTTGTTTCCATATCTTAGTTATTGTGAATAATGCTGCAGTGAACATGGGAGAGCAGACATCATTGACATACTGATGTCAATTCCTTGTGGGGTTGCTGGATCATATGGTAATTCCATTCTTTGTTTTTTGAGGAAGCTCTACACTGTTTTCCAAAATGGCTGTACTGATTTACAGTGCCCTCAACAGTGTGCGAATGCGCCTTTTCTCTACATCCTCACCAACACTAATCGTTCATATTTGTTTATAATAGCCTAACAGGTGCATGGTGATATCTCATTGTGGTTTTAATTTGCATTTCTCTGATGATTAGCAATGTTTAGCATTTTGTATGTCTTCTTTTGTGAAATGTATACAAGTCTTTTGCCCATTTTTAATACAGTTATTTGTATTCTTATTGTTAAGAAGTCTGAGTTCCTTTTATATTTTAGATATTAGCCTCTTATCCAATATATGATTTGCAAATGTTTTCTCCCAGTCTTTGGGTTGTCTCTTTATTCTGTTGTTTCCTTTGCTGTGCAAAGTAGGATTCTCTGTTTTCTGAATTTTAATGCTCAGTATGTATTTCTTTTACAGTCAGAAACTCTATAAGGCTAATCCTTCCCTCCTTAAAACTAGAAGAATTATAGAAGGAGCTACGGGCACAGTGACACAGGGGGATGATGGTGAGATGTCTTTAGAAAGGACTGAAAGGACCTCAGTTCTCTCCCCTGGCCACTGAGGGCAAAGTTTCTCAAATAATACCTTGAAGTTTTGACTCTTCATATCAGCTGAGCATTTACCTGCAATGGCTTCCCTCTTCTTTGAGCCACCTTAACACATTACTCTCTCCACATTCAGGGCTATCTCCTTTGCTTCAATGAGGAAATCACATCTGGCTTAGAGATGTAACGTCCTGTATATAGGAAAAGAAATTGGACTTAGGCCTGTTGTGGTGATGGCAATTCAGGGAGAGGAATATATGAGACAGAAGATAGTCACCTTAGGTGTCAAGAAAATGAAGCCTCAATAATAAAAACACAGTTAATTATTTCCAGTTATGGAAATGTCAGATCAGTGCTTCAAAGGCTCTCAAGAGACTCACAATGAAGGAAAATACTCTCAGCAAACAGATTATAAATAATAAAGGAAAATATTATTAAAAATTTATATTTTTATTTTTATAAATAGAGATGAGGTTTCACCATGCCCAGGCTGGTGTCGAACTCCTGGGCTCAAGTGATCTGTCCACCTCGGCCTCCCAAAGTTCTGTGATTATAGGCGTGAGCCATGGAATTAAGAATAATTTCCTGGCCAGGAAATTATTCTTAACTAGCAAGACTAGGCTCTGACATCACAACCTTGCAGTTACATCCCTCTAAGCAGGGTTCAGCCCCTCACTATGAACCTGGAGGACTTGATGGTTATCCCTGGAAGTGACAGTCCTGCAAATGACAAAAACATTCCAAATCTATTAGGTTGGTACAAAAGTAATTGCGGTTTTTTGCCACTGAAAGTAAGTCCCACGTGACCCCGAGGGAAATGGGAGGTTAGGGTATACATAGCAGCTAGGCAGCATACGGAAGAAGTTTCTCTGGCATCGTTCAGCTTTGAGTCTAGCGGGAATATACTAGTTTAAAAATTAAAAATTCCAGAACTTCCTCACAATGAACTGTTAAGTGATAAGTTTAAAAAAAAAAAAGTTTTAGAATAGAAAAATATAGACAAATCCAAGACATGCTGACAGTGGCTAAAGCAGGTAACTATACAATATGTACAGCTATGCCATTTATCAAAGTGTACATATGTACATACAGATACATGTACATATACATATAGATAGAATGTCAGACATCAGCAATAGAAAGAAAAATACCTACAGACATACCGGGTTTTGTTGGTTTTGTTTTTATTTTTGTTTGAGACTGGGTCTTCCTCTGTCACCCAGGCTGGAATACAACTGCATGAACATGGCTCATGCAGCTTTGACCTTCTGGGCTCAACTGATCCTTCTGCCTCAGCCTCCTGTGTAGCTGGGACCACAGGCACATGCCACCACACCTGGCTAATTTTTCTTTCTTTTTTTTTTTTTGTAGAGTTGGGGTCATACTCTGTTTCCCAGAGTGGACTCCAACTTCATGGGCTCAAGCAATCTTCCTGCTTTGGCCTCCCAAAGTGCTGGTAATTACACGTGTGAGCCACCCACCCGGCTGAGGTATACCTTTAACATTTAACATTTAATAGGCTGTGATACTGATTTTTTGTTTTAGGTATACTTTTATAAATTTAAACTTAAGTATACTTGTTACATATACTTCCTATTTTCTTTGCAAGAACCATCTGTTGAGTTTAGGATATATGTTTAAGGCATTTTATTAAATGGAAGATTTTCAAAAAGTAGATTTAAAAAGCTTTTAGGCCAGGTGTGGTGGCTCATGTCTGTAATCCCTGCACTTTGGGAGACTGAGGGCTGATCACTCCAGCCTGGGCAACAGAGTGAGACTCTGTATCAAAAAAAAAAAAAAAAAAAACTTTAAGAAGTCTTGGGCCGGGCGCGGTGGCTCACGCCTGTAATCCCAGCACTTTGGGAGGCCGAGGCGGGTGGATCATGAGGTCAAGAGATCAAGACCATCCTGGTCAACAAGGCGAAACCCCGTCTCTACTAAAACTACAAAAAATTAGCTGGGCATGGTGGCGCGTGCCTGTAATCCCAGCTACTCAGGAGGCTAATGCAGGAGAATTGCCTGAACCCAGGAGGCGGAGGTTGCGGTGAGCCAAGATCATGCCATTGCACTCCAGCCTGGGTAACAAGAGCAAAACTCCATCTCAAAAAAAAAAAAAAAAAAGAAGTCTTTAGATTTATAGCTCAGCATATTCTAAATACTATGTGATGAATGATTTCTCTTATGTTCAAAAAATATTAATTTTGACCCCACTATGACTTTGGGTATTCTTCCCAGGGAAGAAGGGCTGAGAGGCTTAAACCTTACCTTGGATTTGCTGCTTTGTTTTATACGCCTTCTTGACAGAAGGATTTATTTCACTTCTGAAATATTAGCCATAATGCCCTGCCATCAGTACGTGGATGCCCTTAGACCCAACACCAAGAGACTCTAATCTGTAAGGCATACACATGAATAGAGGACAGTCATTCATACCCAGAGCTGTTATGAATTTTTGGGAACTCCAAGGGTTATCATCTGTACTTCTCCAGAAGTCTTTGTCATGCTCTACCTTTGACTTACTTTTATTTCCCCTGCTGGATTATAAGCAATACAAAGGCAGCAATTATATCTTAATAATGTGTGCTTCCTCCAAGTATTGAAGCACAAGTTCTTGCACGTTGCCAGGCATTCCCAATGTCTTACTCCAAAATCCCACTTCTAGGACACCGTCTCTTAGGAAGAAATTACAAAAATGAACAAAATACTATTACAAGAATGCTCATTGAAGAATTCCTGATAATAATTAGTAAATAAAAATGTTTGAGAATAAACAGTGTGTTAAATATCATATAACAGAACACATAATCCTAATGATTTTCATTCCAAATTAGTTGGCAAGTAAAGATACTCATTAGGAATGACTTCATGAAGCAGAGGGGATACAGAATAGCAGGTATAAAGTGGGCAAATGGTAGCCTAGTAGTTAAAGACTGAGGGCTTTGAAATTCAAATTCCAGTTGTATCTCTTAGGAACTCTGTGACATTTTGCAAGTTATTTAAGCTCTTGGTGCCTCACCTGCTTCATCAGTTTACTGGGAATGGTATCAATAATACCCTCAGGTCACTGAGGGGAGTTAAATGACACTATACAGGTAAAATACTTAGAACAGTATATTAGGGTTCACTAGAGAAACAGACCAAACAGGGTGTGTGTGTGTGTGTACGCATACACATAAAGATTTATTTAAGGAATTGGTTCACGCAATTGTCAATGCTTGGTACATGCAAAATCTGCAGGGCAGGCCAGCAGGCTGAAGACCCGGGGAAGAGTTGTTCGAGTCTAAAGGCAGTCTGCTAACACAATTCCTTCTTGCTCAGGGGGCATTAGTATTTGTTCTATTAAGAACTTTTGCTGATTGAATGAGGCCCACCCATTGTGTCCATTGATTTAAATGTTCATCTCATCCAAAAACCACGTCCACAGAAATACCCAGAATAATGTTTGACCAAATATCGGGATCATGGCCCAGCCAAGTTAGCATATAAAATTAACCATCATAAGTCCACCCTTGTCAACTTGGTACACATAAGCATCTCCTAAAATCATACTTCATATCTGAATGACGACAGTAACAAGATTCTCCTTCTGCTAACATGATATACCTATTCTGCATACAACCAAAAACAACTAACCCTTCCTCAGAAGAGGATGCAAAGTCTGGGTGATGTTAATGCTTCTCCTTGATAACCCATAACTTAAAAACAGTTAGAAAGTTAACAATATTTAAATACCCTAATATAAAGTCAGTACATCTTACTGTACATGATAAAGATATGAAAAGGATGAAAACAAAGCTTTGTTGTACACAGATTCATTACAAAATGGGGAAGACACATTCAGGACAATTGCAGTTTTTGTTTCTGTAACTGCTCATGTGGTTACAGCTGGTATTCATACCTACCTTCTTATTTAATACATAATACATTATCTGTTATGTATTCCTTTTGCCCTCAGCAAGCTCCTCAGCTGGTTGTGGTTCATTACCTGGTGTGGTGACCCAAACCTTCATTTTTGAAGGGTTTGGAGAGTAGTTTTAGCAGAAGCATTTTGTGTAAGGAAGACAAATTAATATCTAAAGTGTGCATTCCAGTAAGAAAAAATACTGCTCCTTCCTTGATGGAAGCAATCCGTGTATCAACCCACCACCAGGGAATGGTACCATACTGGGGAACCAGTGTTGGTCTTGGCTGCTGGCAAACTGGGCACTCAGCAGTGTCTGTAGCCAGTTTGGCTTTGGTAAGCAGAAGTCCATGTTGCTGAGCCCATGCATAACTTCCATCACTGCTGTCATGACCACTTTGTTCATGAGCCAATGGGTGATGACAAGGGTGGCTGGGGAAAGAGGCCGACTGGTATCCACAGAATGGGTCATCCTATGCACCCGATTATTAAAAATCCTCCTCTGCTGAGATTACCCTTTGGTAAGTATTCACATAGGGCACAAATATCTTTATATTTTTTACCTGTTCGGAGAGGTCCATATCTCTTTCCCAGAATTCCTTGTCACCAGTTTCTGGGGTTTTGGTTTTTTTTTTTGAGACAGACTCTTATTCTGTCCCCCAGGCTGGAGTGCAGTGGCACGATCTCAGCTCACCGCAACCTCTGCCTCCTGGGTTCAAGCGACTCTACTTCCTCAGCCTCCCGAGTAGCTGGAACTACAGGCACATGCCACCACACATGGCTAATTTATTTTTAATAGAGATGGGGTTTCACCATGTTGGCCAGGCTGGTCTCAAACTCCCGACCTCAGGTGATCTGCCTGCCTCGGCCTCCCAAAGCACTGGGATTACAGGTGTGAGCCACTGCACCTGGCCATCATCAGTTTGTAAATAATGTTCCTTCCAAGTCCCTGACCATCCAGTCAGACCACTGGCTATAGTGCATGAGGTGGTATATAATGTCACATCTGGCTATTTCTACTTCGAGGAAAAATGAACAACCAGATGCAGTGCTCAAAGTTCCAACCACTGGGAGAATTTCCCTTCCCCACTGTCCTTCGGGGATGTCCCAGAACAGGATTGTAGTGCTGTCCAGGTGTTGTCTGCCTATCACGCAGAACCATCTGTAAACCAGGCCTAAGCCTTTTCTAACTCTAATGGAAATCCCCATGAGGCCACGAGTGCAGGCTAGGAGAGTACTGCAGCAGGAGGGAGAACCATGGGCTTTGGGCCACTTCTTCCCATAATATGTGCCTTCAGGGCCTGCTTAGGCCTGATCACATATATCCCACTTACATTTGATGATGGGAGTACTACTGTGTACACCACCCAATTTGATAATGTGGTGGGTCAGATGACACCCCTTTCGTGATGGGTAGTACAGGTTGCATGGTAACTTGGTGGCCCATGATTAAATGTTCAGTCTCTACTAAGGTCCCATAGCAGCCAAAACTGCCTTGAAAGAGTTGTTTTCTAAAAATGAAGACAGGGCTTTGCTCCAAAATCCTAAGGGCCTGCACTGTGATTCCTTTGTTGGGCCTTGCCAAAGACTCCAAACAGCATCCCTCTCTGCCACTGACACTTGAGGCACCATTAGATTTGTTGAATCATGTGGCCCAAGTGGCATAGCAGCTTGCACAGCAGCCTGGACCTGTTGGGCAATTTTCTTTTGTTCTGAGCCCCACTGTAAACTAACAGCTTTTTGGATCACTTGGTAAATGGCCAGCAGAATAACACATCCAAGCGAGGAATGTATTGCCTCCAAAATCCAAAGAGGCCCCCTATGCATTGTGCCCCTTTCTGATTGTAGAATTTATCCTCCATCTTAGAAGAGATATCTCACCATGCTCCACACCACTGGACCCCTGGGAATTTCAGTGAGGTAGGAGGACCCTGATTTCTTGTTGGATTTATTTCCATCCTCTGACATGCAGTGTCTTACTGATTAAATCTAGAGTACTTGCTACTTCTTATTCACTAGGTTGAATCAGTGTAATGGCATCAATGTAATGGATCAGTACAGTATCTTTTGTTTGTTTGTTTTTTGAGACAGAGTTTCGCTTTGTCGCCCAGGCTGGAATGCAGTGGCACGATCTGAGCTCACTGCAACCTCCACCTCCCAGGTTCAAGCAATTCTCCTGCCTCAGCCTCCTGAGTAGCTGGGATTACAGGTACATGCCACCATTCCCAGCTAATTTTTGTATTTTTAGTAGAGATGGGGTTTCACCATGTTAGCCAGGCTGGTCTCGAACCCCTGACCTCAGATAATTCACCCACCTTGGCCTGCCAAAGTGCTGGGATTACAGGTGTGAGATACTGTGCTGGGCCCAGTAGTAGTAGAAGGAAAAAGTAATCAAGATCCCTGTGAACTAAATTATGACATATGGCTGGAGAGCTGATATACCCCTGAGGTAGCACAGTGAAGGTGTATTACTGACCTTACCAATTAAAAGCAAGCTACTTATGGTGGTTTTAAATAACAAGGAGGGAGAAAAAAGCATTTGCCAGCTCCGTAGCTGCACACCACATAGCAGAGGATGCGTTAATGTCCTCAAGCTACAAAACCACATTTGGGGGCCTGGTGCAGTGGCTCACGCCTGTAATCCCAGCACTTTGGGAGGCCAAGGTAGGTGGATCATGAAGTCAGGAGTTCAAGACCAGCCTGGCCAACATGGTGAAACCCCATCTCTACTAAAAATACAAAAATTAGCCAGGCCTGTAATCCCAGCTACTTGGGAGGCTGAGGCAGAGAACTGCTTCATCCCAGTAGGTGGAGGTTGCAGTGAGCTGAGATCGTACCACTGCACTCCAGCCTAGGTGACAGAGCAAGACTGCATCTCAAAAAAAAAAATAAAAAAAAAAAAAAAACCACAGCTGCTACAGCAGCCACAACTGGAGGCACCACCTGGTTAAGCATATAATACAGTATCATTCTTCAAGACCCATTTGTCTTCTTCAGAGCCAAATAGGCAAGTTGAATGGGGATAGGGTGGCCCCACCCCCCGTATATTTTTCTTAGGGGTGGCACTAATCTCTGCAATCCCTCCAAGAATGAGGTATTGCTTTTGATTTACTATTTTTCCAGGTAGAGACAGTTTTAGTAGCTCACCTGTCCTCTCCCAGCATAACAGCCCTCAGTCCACAGGTCAGATAATCAATGTGGGGATTCTGCCAGTTACTAAGTAGATCTAGTCCAAATTATGTTTATGGTACTGGGGATACAAACACAGAATGCTTCTGGGACTTGCTGTGCGCACTGTGAAACAGACCTGAGCTAAAACTCCATTCATTACCTAGCTGCCATAAGCCCCTACTCTGACTGGTAGATCACAGTGATGTTTTGAGTCTCCTGGAATTAAGGTCAGTTCAGAGCCAGTGTCTCATTTAAAACAATTTAATAAATATGAAACAATAATTTATTATGATAAAGAAAGAACACTTCAAAGAAAATACCTCTTACAGGGTAACTATCTTGGAAGATAGTTGATATTCCTTTGGTGGAAGTTAAATAGATGGGAAGTCTACTAAAGTGTTAATTGATTTGTGTAAGTGGAAGACTTCTAGGTCAAGTGAACAAAAGCATAACTTGATTAATAAAGACAGAAAGTCAGTGTCCCTCAATGAATACCCAGACTTGAGCCAGTGAAGAGGCCCAGAAGCCCTTGAACAAAGGGGAGGCCAGGTTCCCTTGAGGAAGACCACCAGTATACTTCCAGAAATGTATACTGTTAATCTTTCTCCCAGTCTTCCAAAAGGCACCTATGGCTTTTATTTGAGTGACTGTGCAGAGACCAACACTGAGTTCCCAATATGGCACCATTCTCTGGTGGCATGTTGGTTACATTGGACTGCTTTTTTCTCACTGAAATAGACACTGGATATGGATATGCCTTCTTTACACAAAGTGCTGCCACCAAACTACCCTGAAAAGTAATCCCTGTAAGGTCTGAGTATTTTCCCCAATGCACAGTATCCATGGATCCCAGATACCTGCATTCCCTTATGTAGTTAACTACATTCATATAACCTCACAATCTTTCATTCACACTTTAACTCACAAGTCCCATTCAAACACACAAAATCTCACACGATCTCCAACTCAATCATAATCCTTTAAAACATACGCATCAATCTCAAAGCCACAACCATCTAATCACGTACCCTATCACTGTCATACAATCATCCAGAGTCTCGAGCATATTCACAAACCACATTCACATACAGTCATTCCTCAGTGTCCCTCCAGGACCCCTCCGTACCAAAATCCACAGATGCTCAAGTCCCTTATATAAAATGGCATAGTATTTGCATATAATCTATGGAAATCCTCCCGTATTCTTTAAACCTTCTCTAAATTATTTATAACACATAATACCATGTAAATACTATGTAAATAGTTGTTCTATTATTTTAGGGCACGATGACAAGAAAAAAGTCTGTACAAGTTCAGTACCGATCCAAACATCAATTTCTTTTCCCAGGTATTTTGGACTGAAGGTTGGTTGAATCCACAATGCAGGACCTATGGATTGGGAGGGCCAACTGTACATCATATATTTCACTCACTTTCTCAGTGACAGTTTCAAGTGCAAATCATCTCGCATACATGAATAAGAATCAGACACAAGCAGAATCACTTGTTCTCAAACAAGCACCATTTCCTCATATTACACTTGGTGATGGAGTTACTGGTCTCTTAGCAAGGTTAAAAATCCTTACCAAGGATCTGTCCCTTCTGGGAGATGACATGTACCAGCTTCCACTCCTCTTAGTCAGCTCTGGACTCACACACAAACACACACAGTCACCTCACACCACTCCTATGAACATATCCAAGGTTCAAGATGCCCTGCTCCAGAGATCTGTCAGGCATCCATCTCAGCCCCTCCTGGTCCCAACCAGCTTCTACCCTTCTCAGGGACCGCCACAGTCACACTAGTCCTCTAATCATGGGTGAACCCAGCGCAAAACGCCTCACAGAATGTCACCCGGTCCCTGTGCACGTGGCTGCGCTCCCGCAAACATGGTAATCACACGCGTCCAGACGGCCTCTCACACTTAAGCCACATCACGTATCACCCCACAGGGGCTACTGAGGGAGTGGCGGTGCGCTTGCTGCATGAACCCCCACGGGCATATAGCACAACCATTCTCAAAAGGGCTCAAAACCGTTTCACAGCCCGGCGCGGCTCACGCTCGTCATGCAACACTTTGGCAGTCGAGCCGGGAGGATCGCTTGAGCCCAGGAGTTTGAGACCACCCTGGGCAACACATCGAGACTGTTGTCATTACCAAAAAAATAAAAATAAATCGTTTTGGCCAGGCCCGGTGGCTCACGCCTGTAATCCCAACACTTTGAGAGGTGGATGCGGGAGGATGGCTTGAGCCCAGGAGGTGGAGACTGCAGTGAGCTAGGATCGCGCCACCGCACTCGGCCCGGGCAACAGGGCAAGACCCCGTCTCAAACATTAAAAAAAAATTTTTTTTTTTTTTTTTGAGACGGAGTTTCACTCATGTTACCCAGGCTGGAGTGCAATGGCGCAATCTTGGCTCACCGCAACCTCCGCCTCCTGGGTTCAGGCAATTCTCCTGCCTCAGCCTCCTGAGTAGCTGGGATTACAGGCACGCGCCACCATGCCCAGCTAATTTTTTTTGGTATTTTTAGTACAGACGGGGTTTCACCATGTTGACCAGGATGGTCTCGATCTCTTGACTTCGTGATCCACCTGCCTCGGCCTCCCAAAGTGCTGGGATTACAGGCTTGAGCCACCGCGCCCGGCCAAAAAAAATTTTTTTTTTAATCGTTTCACATACAAATCTCACGCGCTACACCCTCATAGTCGGTTTCACATCCACCTTCTCCGGAGTCCCCTTAGGACAGGTCTCGCGACAAAACACCTCTCTCACCACAACTCCACAAAGGGAGGCCGGGTTTGTCTGCGCCTGCCAAAAATTATCTTCAGCCACAGTCCGCGGCGGCTACCTTGAGGGAGTCAGGGCAGCCGCCGTGCCTGTTTCGAAATCCGTCCTGAGCTGGACGCGAAGTCCGGAATCCGGAAACGAACCCTAACAGGTGGGCGTCACTCCAGCCTTCCGTGAAACTGCGCAAGTGCAGCCCGGAGCCGGGCCTAACGCTCCCGCTCCAGCCCAGGCGCTCTTCCCTCAGACTGCATTTCCCAGAAGACACCACTGCCGATAGCTACTTCCGGTAGGAACCTCAGCGGGATGATCTAGGGTTAAGAAGCACGTAAAGACGTCCCGGGCCGGTGGAGAAGGCAGACTGTTTGTGTGGTCTCGCCTGGAATCCGAATCAGAGCTTGGACCAGACCGCTCCCTGAGGATGCTGAAGGTGACAAAGCCTGGCTAGCCAGTGTCGTGGAAGAGAAATGTCTATAGTTTTAGGCCTCTGAGTGGGGGATCACCCCTTATGTGGGTGTGTTATGAGTGCGTGAGGCAGTCGGGTTTATCTTTGGGCTAATTGTGTGTTAGTGGTGTGACAGCGATAGTGGGTGTGCTTTTGTGACAGTGTGATTATGTGTCTGATCATTTGTGTGAATGGGGTTTGTAGGGACTGTGACCGTGGTTATGAGTGGCTATTTGTGTTAAGTCCCATTTATTTACATGAAAGAAAAAGCACATTTACACAAACCGTTATCCTCGGGCTCACACGATCAGGCAGATAGCTATCACTCCTCTCAAGTCAATTCTGGTCTGTCACACACAATTAGACACACACGCAGTCACCTCACCCAGCTCTTCTGTACACATCTAAGGCTCAGGACGCCCTGCTGTAGAGCGTCATTCATCCATCTCAGCCCCTCCTGACCACTTGTGGAGTCAGCTGTAGGTATACACACACACACACCACAAACTAAAATCACATTGCCACCCTGCATTTAGCATCACAGCCTCAGAAATACACCACATATGTAGTATGCTTATGTACATATGTGTGTATTTTTTCTAAGATTAGGCCACAATGCACATTGTTTTGCAACTTTTCATTTATTTATTTATTTATTTATTTGAGACAGAATTTCACTCTTTCACCCAGGCTAGAGTGCAGTGTCGCGATTTTGGCTCACTGCAACCTCTGCCTTCTGGTTTCGAGCGATTCTCCTGCCTCAGCCTCCTGAGTAGCTGGGATTACAAGCGCCCGCCACCATGCTTGGCTAAATGTTGTATTTCATCGTGTTGGCCAGGTTGATCTCGAACTCCTGATCTCGTGATCCGCCCACTTCAGCCTCCCAAAGTGCTGGGATCACAGGCGTGAGCCACCGCGCCTGGTCTCTGCAGCTTCTTACTAAAAGATATTTATGTCCTTTTGTCTGTATTCAAAGACAAACAATATTTCCCAGGATGTTTGCAGGTGTGATTCTTCTTTAATTCTTACAGCACTGTGCTTCAAACTAAAGACTCAAGAATTTATTTTGGTCTGGGAATTTTTACTCTATTTATTTATTTTCTTCCATCTGTGTTGTTTTAACCTCTACTTTTGAAATTCCTGTTATACATACATTGGGTCTTTTGGGTCTGTTTTCTATCTTCCTAGCCTTTTCACATAATATCCATTTCCTTTTCTTTTTCCTCTTAATTCGGTGAAAATCTGCTCAGGGCATTTCTCAGCACCCTGGTCCTGACTTCCATTTCATCATAGTATTGGGACACTGAGCTGGCCTAACTATCCCTTCTGCCGAAGAGCCTGGTCCTTGCTTTTCCTGAGTCTATCCTGCTATAGCTGCGTTTCCTCATGGTTTTGAGTAAAGCTAGAATTTGTTCAGATTCCCTCTAATCATTTATGTATGTGTGTATCAGATCTGGGAATAGGAGATATGAAGGGGGAAGAAAAATGTCATTCTGAATTAACATTTTGGGAGCTTAGAGGCAATAATCTTCTGTCTTTTCTTTTACTCCCCTCTCCCCTAGCAACACCTTTGGATTGAGTATCTTCCAGAGGGAATCAAGAAGAGGATTAATTAATACATTCAATTGTAAAATAAGCCATGGCCCAGGTAAGTTGGTTTTTTCTTGGTCCTAATTCAAATAGTTTTCGTGTGAGTGCGTGTGTGTGTGTGTGTGTGTGTGTGTGTGTGTGTGTGTAGGGCATGTGACTACTTGCATTTATTTATTTATTTATTTGAGACATAGCCCCACTCGTCTCCTAGGTGGGAAGGTTGGAGTGCAGTGGTGCAATCTTGGCTCACTGCAGCCTCTACCTCCCAGGTTCAAGTGATTTTTCCATTTCAGCCTCCCAAGTAGCTGAGACTACAGGCACATGTCACCATGCCCAGCTAATTTTTGTACTTTTAGTAGAGTTTCACTAGGCTGGTCTCAAACTCCTGCCTCAAGTGATCCGCCCATCTCAGCCTCCCAAAGTGGTGGGATTACAGGCATGAGCCATGCGCCTGGTCTGTGTTCTTTATTCTGACATTGTTTCGTACCTGAGAATTATACAATAACTTACTATTGAGTAAGTGATGGTGCCAGAATTTCAGGCCTTTCATTTTTTGCTCCTCTCCTCTCCAACCCATGTTCATATACTTGTTAAATAAATCATTCTCCATCTCCTTTATGTGCAATCTTCTAACAGAAACAATTAGAGAATACAAATAATATTCTTTTGAAGTCGGGCATGGTGGTTCACACCTGTAATCCCAACGCTTTGGGAGGCGGAGGCAGCCAGGTCACCGAGGCAGGCAGATCACCTGAGGTCAGGAGTTCGAGATCAGCCTGACCAACATGGAGAAACATTGTCTCTACTAAAAATACACAATTAGCCAGGTGATGGGCACCTGTAGTCCCAGCTACTCGGGAAGCTGAGGCAGGAGAATCACCTGAACCTGGGAGGCAGAGGTTGCAGTGAGCCAAGATTGTGCCATTGCACTCTAGCCTGGGCAACAAGATCAAGACTCTGTCTCAAAAAAAAAAAATTAGTGTTTCTCTTGTCAGAACTTGATTTGATAAGGTGATTTAACAAATATTTATTGAGTACCTACTATGCGACAGGCCATTCTTCTGGGTAACTAGGAATAAATCAGTGGGGGAAAAAATCACATATATGCAAATCTTCCCTTCTGAAGTTTAACTGGTAGTGAGAGATAGAAAATAACTTATGTATTGTAAGACTTAAGACACACACCCAGATTTATGCAGAGAGAGTAAGCAAGACAGAGTTAACAAAATAATCACATGATGAAAGCCAGGCATGGTGGCTCATGTCAGTAATTGCAACACTTTGGGAGGCTGAGGCAGGAGAATCACTTGAGCCCAGGAGTTCCAGAATAGTCTAGGCAACATAATAAAACCCGATCTCTACAAAAAAAATTTTTTATTAATCAGCTGGGTGTGGTTGTGTGCACCTATAGTTCTAGCTACTCGGGAAGCTGAGGCTGAGGTGGGAGAATCACTCGAGCCCAGGAGTTTGAGGTTGCAGTGAGCTATGATCACACCACTGCACCCCAGCCTGAATGACAGAGCAAGACCCTGTTTCGGAAAAAAAAAAAAATGTACATGATAAAATTAAGACCAGAGAAAAAAGAAAACAGACTAAATTAGATTCAGGCCACATCACAGAACTACACATGGCCCAAGGACATTATATACTTTTAAAGTATAAATTTCAAAATGAAGATAACAATAGTTCTGAATACATGTGTATGGAATATCATAGCAGTACCTCTCATAAAGCAAAATTTAAAGCAGATAGAAGAAACAGACACTTGCCAGCAGTAGGAGACATTAATTCACTCTTCTCAGTCCAAATCAGGCCAAGAAGACTAAAGTTAATAAAGGAATAGAAGTATTAATCCACATACTCTATCTGGTCTACATTATTGATGCATTTATGTTAAATTTGGTATCCTGATACTTGTTAATATTCATTCTTCTTTCAAGTGCCTATGGAACATTCAGTAAAAAATGACATCTACCAAAATCACAAATGTATTTTCCATTTCAACCCTGCAATCCAACTCCTGGTACTTTTTCTTATAGATGTACCTATATTTGTATGCAATGATAAATCCACAAGAGCATTCATTGCACTATTGTTTGTAATAGCCAAAGACTAGAAATAATGAATCTATCGCTTTAATTGATAAACTGTAAGTATTAATATAAATAGTTGAATTATATATACTTAGGTAAAAATAAAGAAGTCGTTCACCACAGATATGGCAAGATCCTTTGTATTTAATAAGTGAAAAAAATTAAGTACAAAACTGAGTATTTTATAGTGTGTTATTGTTTGCATAAGAGGGTGAAAAATTATATGTATATATTTACTTATAAAGTTGTTTATCCATGTGGGCAAGAGAAATGAGACAAGACATATGAATGTTTACCTTTTTAGTTCTTAACCATTTAAGAAAGGAAAAGAAAATATAAAAATATGCCAGGTGCAGTGGCTCATGCCTGTAATTCCAACACTTTGAGAGGCCACAGAAAGAGGATTAGTTGAAACCAGGAATTTGAGACCAGCCTGGGCAACAAAGACCCCATCAGTACAAAAAAAAAAAAATTAGCTGGGCATGGTGACATGTGCCTGTAGTCCCAGCTACTTGGGACACTGAGGCAGGAGAGTTGATTGTGCCTAGGAGTTTAAGGTTGCAGTGAGCTATGATCTCGCCACTGAACTCCAGCTTGGGTGACAAAGCGAGATGCTCCCCCATCCCTACCCCCAAAAAGAAAAATAAAAGGTAAAAATAAAAATCTATTATCAAGGTTTATAATTTTCTCTAGCCATTTTTAGCTACTTAGATTCAGTGATGGAGTAGGAAGAAAGATGGATTTATCAAGGATTCAGGCTTTGTCAAGCAAGTGTGAAATGAGAGGGTTAAGGGAGTTCATGTTGGGAGTGATTGAGCATGGAATTTAAGTTGGGTAAGAAGAGAGAGAAGAAGTATGGAGTGGGGTAAGTGCCAATGTGAAGGTGATCAGAGAAGGATACTTGATATTTTGGAGGTGATGCAGTTATTGCTAATCACGAGGTCTAGTGTAATAACATGGGGAGTGAGTGAAGTAGAATGGAAGATAAGCTCATAGAAAAGTAGAAGAGGTTAAGGAATTGGGGCCATGATATTAGAAGAACTCAGTATACGACTATTTGAAGTCACTGAAAATAAAGATTAGTAGTATTAGAGTTAGTGATACTGAGCCAGGAGCTAAAATTCCTGAGGGGCAAAAGCCTGCATATGAACACATCACTGCAACAGAGAGAGATAATACATGGTATAGGCTGATAAAATGATGACATTAGATTTTAGAGAAGGGGCCCAGGCATGGTGGCTCACACCCATAATCCCAGCACTTTGGGAGGCTGAAGCAGACAGATCACTTGAGGTCAGGAGTTCGAGACCAGGCTGGACAACATGGTGAAACTCTGTCTCTACAAAAAATACAAAAATTAGCCAGGTATGGTGGTGCGCACCTGTAATCCCAGCTATTTGGGAGGCGGAGGCATGAGAATTGCTTGAACCCGGGAGGCAGATGTTTTAGTGAGCCAAGATCGCGCCATTACACTCTAGCCTGGGCAACAGAGTAAGACTCTGTTTCAAAAAAAAAAAAAAAAAGATGTTAGAGAAGGAAAGACAGTTATCTGACACCAATAATGAGAAGCAAAGAGGACAGTGGTACGAAGGCTGAGGGAGGAAAAAAAAAGCCAGCACTTGAGGTGTCCTCAGGAAATGAATGGTTAATTAAATCATACATGGAAAAATCTTATAATTTCACAACTTGGAGTTTTCCAGTGAGATGTGATAGGAATTGATGTTGGGTGATCTCACTGAGCAAAAAGACTTTGCTGTGTGAAGCTTTAGGATTAGATGGAGACAGGATTAGTGCTTGTGTGGAAAAATTGAAGATCTTGCTTGAAAACAGATGATCACCAATTACAAACTCCAGTTTTAGACTGAATAGAGTATGTTAGACTTGGGTCACATCTATTAAAGTCTGGATTATTCTACAATAATATTTTTAAATTTAGGAGCATAGTATATATACAGGGAGAGATCGTGGATGATGTCAGTTAAGATTTATATGTAACCTTAGAAAAGACCTTAGAGATTTTGTTTATCCCAGAGATTCAAGTTTGAGAGAATTATTAAATCCCTTATTGTAAGATTAAATAAGGCTGGTGCAGTGGCTCATGCCTGTAATCCCAACACTTTGGGAGGCCAAAGTGGGAGGATTACTTGAGCTCAGGAGCTCAAGACCAGCCAGGGCAATATAGTGAAACCCCATCTCTTAAAAAAAAAAAAGATCAAATGTTGTGCGACCAATAAAAATCATATTACAGTTACAATAACTATTGCCAGGTAACAAACCACCCCCAAATTTAGTAGATGTAAAACAACACTCATGGTCGGGCTTGCAAATCCACAATCTCAGCAGAGCTCAGTAGGGATCGCTCACCTCTGTTCCATGTGGTATCAGCTGAAATGGCCTGATTGGGAGCTAGCTGACCCACTTTCAAGATAGTTCCTTCACATGGCTTGCAAGCTGTTGCGGGGTGTTGTTTGGGGAGCCTTGATTCCTTTCCCCATGAGCTATGCCATGGGCTGGTTAGGCTTCCTAGGAACATGGTGGCAGGGTTTTCAGAAAGAACATTCCCAGAAAGTAAGGCAGAAGTATGAGACGTTTTTGTGATCTAACCACAGAAGTCACATAATAACTTCTGCCATATTCTATAGGTTGAATAAGTCACAGATGTCCTCTCAGGTTCAACAGAAGGGGACACAGACCTTTACACCAGTTGGAAGAGGGATGTCAAGGTTACATTGAAGAAAGATATTTGGAATGCAAGATACTGCTTTGTCCTTCTATGGAAAATATAGTCTGTACCAGATGTGTACTAAAGAATTTGCAGGAAAACTGAAAATACTTATGGTATGATAATCACAATCATGAAGAAAATTCTTCAAGTTCTTTTTCTCAAGATAGAGATTTTAATAAGACATTTTAGAAAGATTTAAAAGTTTTCAACTATTTAATATAATAGGGAGCCTCTACTTATTTTCTTAATTTCTAGATGACTGATTAACAGGCGTTTCCCACCTACTCAAGAAGATGTGTCTGCAGAAATGGAATTGTTTAAGAACATGTAGGCACTTCACTTCAGTCACACTAAATTCCTCTTTGACCCATGTCCCAGGCTTAGCCTGTATACTCACTAGACTCTCCTTTCTTTTTTTTTTTTTTTTTTTTGAGATGGAGTTTTTTTTGCTCTTGTTACCCAGGCTGGAGTGCAATGGCGCGATCTCGGCTCACCGCAACCTCCGCCTCCTGGGTTCAGGCAATTCTCCTGCCTCAGCCTCCTGAGTAGCTGGGATTACAGGCACGCGCCACCATGCCCAGCTAATTTTTTGTATTTTTAGTAGAGACGGGGTTTCACCATGTTGACCAGGATGGTCTCGATCTCTTGACCTCGCGATCCACCCGCCTCGGCCTCCCAAAGTGCTGGGATTACAGGCTTGAGCCACCGCGCCCGGCCGACTGTCTCCTTTCTTGTAGTGCCTTCTTTTAGCACCTCTCTTTTCATTTTAAAAATGTTTCTTATATTTTCTAAAATAGTACTATGATTTGTCATTTTAGGAGTTGGTGATGTTCAGAGATGTGGCTATAGATGTCTCTCAGGAGGAATGGGAATGCCTGAACCCAGCACAGAGGAATTTGTACAAGGATGTGATGCTGGAGAATTATAGCAACTTGGTGTCACTTGGTAAAGTTATCTAAAAATTAAAAATCTCTCCAAGTACTTTCCTCAGTTAAAAAAAAAAAAAAGAATCTGACAATTCAGAATTCCTCTAACAATTCATAATGTACTTCTTTGAATTCCTGCTTTTTCCCCTATTAGGGCTAGCTTTCAAATAACTGGATGAATTTTCTCTCTATGTATTTCAGAAAGAAGCACAGCTAAATAGAGATTCATTTTCATTTCCCCCATCCTTCCATGTTCTTTCGGTCCTTTCTTATAACTCTTCCTTGATGTTTAAGGGGCAGAACTGGAAATCTAATGTTAATGCATACACTATCAAAGAAACCAGACTCTCTTTTGTTTCACTTCCACTGTACTAAATCTGCCAATGTACTAGCATAAGATTAAAACTACACACATGGGTTCCAAGAGTGAACCTTTTTTCTTTCCTGGGTAATAGAGTGGTAGGCTGGGGTAATAAACATTTATTTACTATTCTCAAATGAACACTTCTCCATTTCCTATGATAAATGTACTCTCTTTTATCTTTTATTTTTTAAATTTTTTTATTTTACTTTTTTTTTTTTTTTTTTTTTTTGAGACAGAGCTTTGCTCTTGTTGCCCAGGCTGGAGTGCAATGGCATGATCTTAGCTGACGGCAACCTCCACCTCCCAGGTTCAAGCGATTCTCCTGCCTCAGCCTCCCGAGAAGCTGGGATTACAGGCATATGCCAATATACCTGGCTAATTTTGCATTTTTTAGTAGAGACAGGGTTTCTCCATGTTGGTCAGGTCGGTCTTGAGCTCCCAGTCGCAGGTGATCTGCCTACTTTGGCCTCCCAAAGTCCTGGGGTTACAGGTGTGAGCCACCGTGCCTAGCCTTTTTTTGTTTTTATTTTTTTAACAGAGTTTCACTCTTGTCACCCAGGCTGGGGTACAGTGGCACAATCTTGGCTCACTGCAACCTCCACCTCCCAGTTTCAAACAATTCTCCTGCCTCAGCTTCCTGAGCTGAGATTACAGGTGCCTGTGACCACACCCAACTAATTCTTGTATTTTTGATAGAGACAGGATTTCACCATGTTGGCCAGGCTGGTCTTGAACTCCCAGGCAAGTCTTGCACCTGACCTATACTCTCTTTTAAATGATTTGCCTTTGGCAGTTATTTTTTAATAACTTTGTACAGTTAACATTAAAAAAAAATATGAGGCTCAGTGCAGTGGCTCACACCTGTAATCCCAGCACATTGGGAGGCTAAGGTTGGTAGATCCTCTGAGGTGAGGAGTTCAAGACCAGCCTGGCCAATATGGCAAAACCCCGTTTCTACTAAAAACACAAAAATTGGCCGGGCATGGTGGCTCAAGCCTGTAATCCCAGCACTTTGGGAGGCCGAGGCAGGCGAATCACCAGGTCAAGAGATCGAGACCATCCTGGCCAACATGGTGAAACCCTGTCTCTACTAAAAATACAAAAATTAGCTGGGTGTGGTGGCGTGTGCCTGTAGTCCCAGCTACTCGGGAGGTTGAGGCAGGAGAATTGCTTGAACCCGGGAGGTGGAGGTTGCAGTGAGCCAAGGTTGTGCCACTGCACTCCAGCCTGGCGCCTGGCAACAGAGCGAGACTCTGTCTCAAAAAAAAAAAAACCACAAAAATTAGCCAGGCGCAGTGGCGGGCGCCTGTAATCCCAGCTGCTCAGGAGGCTGAGGCAGGAGAATCACCTGAATCCCGGAAGTGGAGGTTGCAGTGAGCCGAGATTGCACCATTGCACTCTAGCCTGGACCCTGTCTCCAATCAATCAATCAATCAATCAATAATGTGCTACAAAACTGTAAGAGAATACATTTGTGTTGTTTTAAGCCACCCGGTTTGTGGGACTTTGTTAATGGTAGCCCTAGGAAACTAATAGAGGGGAATCAAGAGTGAAACTCCATCTCAAAAAAAAGAATAAATATCTCAGGAAGCTTCCTTTTTTTTCATCACAGCAAAATAAGAGAAAGCTTGCATAAATTTAAGTACCATTTTATCACCTATTTGTTTGCTTTATTATGATCCTGTTTTCATCTGAATATGAATATTTCATCTCTTCTCCTTTATTTCCTCTGTATCCCTTATCAAGTACCTTTTTGATCCGTGATTTATTTTTTATTTAATCAGTTCTGAATCATTGTATTTGGATACTTTTATTTCCATCTCATCTCAGTTTCTTTTCTTATAACTAGGACTTTCTGTTTCTAAGCCAGCCATAATCTCCTCATTGGAGCAAGGAAAGGAGCCCTGGATGCTTGTGAGGGAAGAGTCAGGAAGATGGTGCCCAGGTGAGTGAGGAAGCACAGGAAGCTCTTGCAGGGAGCAGGCCAGCTGGTCAGAATGTTGGGTTGGCAAGGTTATTTTAAAGCAAATACTTAAGGAAAACCTAATTTCAAAACATATCACAAAGCTATAGTAATCAAACAGTGTGGTACTGACATACAGACAGACATGTAGACCAATGGAATAGAATAGAAATCCCAGAAATAAACCCTTGCATAAAGAGTCAAATGATTTTAGACAAGGGTGCTAACACTTTAGTGGAGAAAACTGTATTATCCACAGGCAAAAGAATACAGTTGTACCCTTATCTTATGCCATATAGAAAAATTAACTCAGAATGGATCAAAGACCTTGGCCAAGCATGGTGGCTCACGCCTGTAATCCCAGCACTTTGAGAGGCCAAGGCAGGCAGATCACGAGGTCGAGAGATCAAGATCATCCTGGCCAACATGGTGAAACCCCATCTCTACTAAAAAATACAAAAATTAGCTGGGCATGGTGGCACATGCCTGTGATCCTAGCTACTCAGGAGGCTGAGGCAGGATAATCACTTGAACCAAAGAGTTGGAGGTTGCAGTGAGCCAAGAACACAACACTGCACTCCAGCCTGGTGACAGAGCAGACTCTGTCCCAAAAATAAAAAGAATGGAAAAGAATGGATCCAAGACCTAAATGTGAGAGCTAAAACTATAAAACTCTTAGAAGAAAACATTGGAGAAAAGCTTCATGATATTGGATTTGGCAATGATTTGTTGTGTATAACACCAAAAGCACTGGCAACGAAAGCAAAAATAAACAACTGGGACTACATCAAACCTAAAATCTTCTGTACATCAAAGGACACAATCAACGGTGTTTATTAATTTTGTTTGTTTGTTTTGAGACAGGGTTTTGCTCTGTCACTCAGGCTGGATGGAGTGCAGTGATGCAAACTCGGCTCACTGCAACCTCTCCCTCCCTGGCTTAAGCAATCCTCCCATCTCAGCTTCTTGAGTAGCTGGAACTACAGGCACATACCACCATGCCCGGCTAATTTTTTAATTTTTTGCAGAGGTGAGGTCTCGCTATATTACCCAGCCTGGTCTTGACCTCCTTAAGCAATCCTCCCACCACAGCCTCCCAATGTGCTAGGATTATAGGCATGTATCACTGTGCCTAGCCTGTTTATTAATTTTTTAAAAGATTCAGGCTGGGCTCAGTGGCTCACACCAATAATCTCATCACTTGGGGAGGCTCAAGTGGGAGGATTACTTGAGCTTAGGAGTTTTGACCTGTCTGGGCAACATAGCAAAAGCCCTGTCTTTACAAAAAATTAAAAATTAAAAAATTAGCCGGGCATGATAGTACATGCCTGTAGTCCCAGATGTTCAGAAGACTGAGATGGGAGGATCACTTGAGACCAAGAGTTTGAGGCTACAGTGAGCCAAGATCATACCACTTTACTCCAGTCAAGGTGACAGTGCAAGATGCTCTCTCTAAACAAATAAATAAATAAAAGATTCTTACAGGTTGATTTGCTAGGCGATGGAAATACATTTTTAAAGTATTATAGAGACATTTTTAATTTAGTAGGGGATCAAGAATACATGGATGTTCTAATAGAATCGCTAGGAAAAAAAATGGTTAGAAATTAGGAAAGTTAGAAAAAGTAATATATGACTATATTGAGGAGGTGGAGATGGCAGAGGGATGATTGAGAACGCAGGAGGTCAACTAGGAAAGTTCAGGGTGCTATAGGCCAAGAGCAGATCCATTCTATAGGCCAGAGTTCTTTGATGATGTCTGTGACTGATTGAAATGCTACAGGCTGAATATGGTGGCTGTAATCCCAGGACTTTGGGAGGCCAAGGTAGAAGGATTGCTTGGGCCTAGGAGTTTGAGACCAGTCTGGGCCATATAGCGAGACTCTGTCTCTATCGAGAAAAATTAAAAATTAGCCTAGCATGGTGGCATGCACCTGTGGTCCCGGCTACTCAAGTGGCTGAGTTGGAAGGATTGCTTGAACTGGGGAGGTCAAGGCTGCAGAGAGCCATGATTCTGCCATTGCACTCTAGTCTGGGTAACAGAGCAAGACCCTGTCTCAATCAATCAATAAAATGCTACAGAGCTGTGAGAGAATACATTTGTGTTTTAAGCCACCCAGTTTGTTAATGGCAGCCCTAGGAAACTAATAGAGGGGAATCATAGAAAAATGAATGGTACATATTGTCCTACATGTTTTAATGTAAAGTAACATTCCTTTACCAATTTTTTATGCCTGGGTAAGCCTTTTTCTTGGCATAGATACAGTGATTTTCTTTAAAAAAAGAAAAAAGACCTTTTATTTTGAAATAATTACGGATTCACAAGAGGTTGCAAAGAAATGTATGGAGAAGTCCTGTGCACCCCTCTTGCAGCTTCCCTCAGGGTTAATACCTTAGCCAACTATAGTACAATACCATACCACAAAATTGACATTGCTACAATTCATAGAACTTACTCAGATTTCACTAGTTATACATGCACTCATTTATCTGTGTATATGTATAACTATGAAGTTTTATCACATGTAGCCTTGTGTTACCACTGCAGTAGCCAAAATACTCAACAATACCATCACCACAAGACTCCCTTATGTTACCTCTTTATATCTATACTTATCCCATTTCTTTTTTCCCTAACCCTTGTGATATGGTTTGGCTGTCTCCCCTCCCAAATCTCATCTTGAATTGTAGCTGCCATATTTCCCCCATGTGACTCAGTGGGAAATAATTGAATCATGGTGGCAGTTTCCCCCATATTGTTCTCATGCTAGTGAATAAGTCTCATGAGAGCTGATGGTTTTATAAGGAGTTTCCCCTTTTGCTTGGCTCTCATTCTTTCTTGCCTGCTGTCATGTAAGACGTGCTTTTGCTCCTTCTTTGCCTTCTGCCATGATTGTGAGGCCTCCCCAGCCATATGGAACTGAGTCCATTAAACCTTTTTCTTTACAAATTACCCAGTCCCGGGTATGTCTTTATCAGCAGTGTGAAAACAGACAAATACACCTTGGCAACTATGTTCTGTTCTCTGTATAATGATGTAATTTCATGAATGTTACATAAATGGAATCCTGTATATGGATGTTTGTTTTTTACATTCATGTACAAATTTGTACATGAAAATGAGTCTTCATTTGTTTACAGTAAATGCTCAAGAGTGTAGTTGCTGGGTGGTGTGATAAATCCATTTTTAGTTTTGCAGGAGCTGCCAAATTATTGTCCACAATGGTGGTACCGTTTCACATTCTTACCAGCCATGTATGTGTGATCCAGTTTCTCTAGTCATAGCCAGCTTTTGGTGTTATAATTGTTTTTCGTTGTCACCATTCTATTAGGTAGATAACTATATCTCATTGTGGTTTTAATTTGAATTTCCTTAATGACAAATAATGTTGAACAACTGTGTGTGCCATCTGTCTATCCTGTTGATTGAAATATCTCTTCATGCCTTTTGACTATTTTCCAATTTGGTTGGTTTTTTACTGTTGAGTTTTCAAAGTTCTTTTTGTATCTTAGACAGAAGCCCTTTGCTGGATATATGACTTGCAAATATTTTCTCCCAGTCTGTAATTTATTTTTTTTATCCTTTTAACAGGGTCTTTGCAGAGCAAAAGTTTTTAATTTTGATGAGGTCTAATTTATCTTTTTTTCTCTTATGAATTGTGGTATTTGGTGTGTGTGTGTGTTTAGTGTCACACCTAAGAACTCTTTGCTTAGTCAAAGTTCTAAAGGTCCTTAAGATTTTCTCTAATCTTTTTTAGAAATTTTATAGTTTTACATTTTTAATTTAAGTTTGTGGTTCATTTTGAGTTCATTTTTATAAAGTTGTGAGATTTAGGTGAAGGTTCTTTTTTTTTTTTCTATGGATGCCCATAGCATTTATTTTAAAGTTATCCCTTCTCAGGTGAATAGCTTTTTCACCTTTGTTAAAAATTAGTTGTAGCTTGGCCGGGCGCGGTGGCTCAAGCCTGTAATCCCAGCACTTTGGGAGGCCGAGGCGGGTGGATCACGAGGTCAAGAGATCAAGACCATCCTGGTCAACACGGTGAAACCCCGTCTCTACTAAAAAAAAACTACAAAAAATTAGCTGGGCATGGTGGCGCATGCCTGTAGTCCCAGCTACTCAGGAGGCTGAGGCAGGAGAATTGCCTGAACCCAGGAGGCGGAGGTTGTGGTGAGCCGAGATCGCGCCATTGCACTCCAGCCTGGGTAACAAGAGCAAAACTCCGTCTCAAAAAAAAAAAAAAAATTAGTTGTGCACATTTGTGTGGCACTATTTCTGGGTTCTCTGTTCTGCTGCATTGATCTTTGTGACCATCTTTCTTCTAATGCCACCTTTCATGATGGCTGCAGGTATATAGTAAGCCTTAATATTGGAAGGAGTGATTCTTCCCACTGTGTTATTTTTCACAATTGTTTTGGCTATCCTTAGGACCTTTTTCTTTGCATATAAGTTTTAGAAAAGCTTGTCTGTGTCTACAAAAATCTTGCTGAGATTTTTGTGGGAATTGTGTTAAGTCTATAGCTGAAGTAAGGGAGAACAGCTTTACTCTGTTGAGTCTTCCAAAGCATGAACACAGCATGTCTCTCTAAATACTTTTGTTTTCCTTGATTTGTTTTATTAGCATCTTACAATTTTCATTATACAGAATCTGTACATGTTTTGTTATTTTTATACCTACGTATTTCATCTTCTTTGGAACATTTGTAAAGGGCATTGCATTTTTATATTGGAATGCAGTTGATTTTGTGTATTAATTCTGTGATCTTACTCAACTTGCATGTTAGTACTAGTATTTTTCCTAATATTTTTTCTTAGAGATTTCTACTTACAAACAAATTATCTACAAACAATCATTTTCTTTTTATATTGCAATCTATGCCTTTTATTTCTTTTTCTTGCCTTATTGGAGTGGCAAGAACTTCTAATACCATGTTAAACAAGGGTGGTAAAAGTGGACATCTTTATGTTCTCCCTATTTTGGAAGGAAAGCACTCAGTCTTTCAACGTTAAGTAGGATGTCAGTTCTAGGAATTTTGTAGATGCTTTATATTATAAGGTTGAGGAAATTCTCCTCTCTTTTTAATGCCCTGAGAGGTTTTTTAAAAATTATGAATGAATATTGATGTGATCATATTATTTTTCTTATTTATATGTTACATTGAACAATTTTCCAATATTAAATGAGCTTCTTATACCTAGAATAAATTAAACTTAGTCATGGTAAATTATGCTTCTTATTCATTGTTGGGTTGGATTTGATTTGCTAAAATGTGGTTAACAATTTTTTCATTTAGGGTCATGAAAGATGCTGGTTTATGTTTTCTTTGTTGTGGCACCTTAGTCTGGTTTTGGTATCACAGTAATACTGGCCTTATAAAGTGAGTTGAGAAGTGTTGTCTTTTCTTCTGTTTTCCGGAAGAAATTGTGTAAAATATCATATGTTTGGTAAAATTCTCCAGTGAAATAGTCTGAACCTGGAGATTTCTTTTGGAGAGCTTTTTAATTATAAATTCAATTTATTTAATAGTTATAGGACTATTCAGATTACCTATTTTATCTTAGCAGAGTACTGGTATTTTGTGATTTTCAAGGATTTGGTCCATTTCTTCTAATTTGGTGAACTTACAAGGTTGTAAGTGATGTTCTTAATATTCTGTATATTCATATATATAATGGATGTGTGTGTGTGTGTGTGTGTGTGTGTGTGTGTGTGTATATATATATATATATATACTTACAATTTTTTTGGAAATTTTTTCTTTAAGACTCTCTTTGACCCATGGATTATTTTAAAATTAATTATTATTTTAATTGAAAATACAAATTATATGTATTTATGGTCTACAACATGATGTTTTGATATACATATATATTGTAAAAATGATTATATCGAGCTAATTAGCATATATATTACCTCACATTCTTCTTTTTTTGATCTTTCACAACGTTTATTTTAGAAATTTATTTTTGTGTGTAAGGGAGAACATTTAACATCTATTTTCCTAGCAGCTTTTAAGTTTACAGTATACTGTTTCAGCCAGGCATGGTGGCTCAGGCCAAGTGCGGTGGCTCACACCTGTAATCCCAGTACTTTGGTAGGCCAAGGCAGTTGGATCACCTGAGGTCAGGAGTTCAAGACCAGCCTGCCCAAGATGGTAAAACCCTGTGTCCACTAAAAATAAAAAAAATTAGCTGGGCATGGTGGCCCACACCTCTAATCCCAGCTACTCAGGAGGCTGAGGCAGGAGAAATGCTTTAACCTGGGAGGTGGAAGTTGCAGTAAGCCAAGATCATGCCATTGCACTCCAGTGTGGGCACCAAGAGCAAGACTCTGTCTCAAAAACAAAAACCCAATATACTGTTTCAAGAGAATTTATAATTTATTGGCAAAGCCTTTAGGGAAGAATGCTTTAAAATCTTTGTCAGATAATTCCATCATGTGATTCATCCTTGTATTTGCATTAGTTGGTTGCCTTTTCTCCTTCAGATTTTGGTTGTCTTGGTTTTTGGTATGACAAGTGATTTTCATTTGTACCTTGGATATTTTAGTTGTTATGTTTTAGAGAGTCTTGATTCTATTTAATCAATTTGAGCAAGTAGTTATCCTGTTAGATTTAGTAAAGATCTGATCTACTTTTGTAGACTTTAGTTCCAATGACAGTTTAGTTTTCAGAACAATTATAGTGCTATTCTGATCTGCTCAATACCTCTCGTGCTGCTGGGGCCAAAAGCGCATGAAGAGATGTTCACCACTACTGGCCATTAGGGAAATGCTAATCAAAACCGCAATGAGGCTGGGCACGGCGGCTCATGCCTGTAATCCCAGCACTTTCGGAGGCCAAAGTGAGTGGATCACTTGAGGTCAGTTTGAGACCAGCCTGGCCAGCATGGTGAAACCCTGTGTCTACCAAAAAATACAAAAATTAGCCAGGCATGGTGGCACGCGCCTGTAGTCCCATGGTGGTACTCTGGAGGCTGAGGCACAAGAATCACTTGAACCTGGGAGGTGAAGGTTGCAGTCAGCTGAGATTGCGCCACTGCACTCCAGCCTGAGAGACAGAGTGAGACTCTGTCTGAAAAACAAACAAACAAACAAAAAAACCCACACATAATGAGATATCACCTCATACTCAATAGGATGGTTAATATTAAAAAAACATAAAATAACAGGTGTTGCCAGAGACGTGGAGAAATTGGAAACTTTGTGCACTATTGGTGGGAATGCAAAATGGTACAATGTATTAGATCATTCCTGCATTGCTATAAAGAAATACCTGAGACTGGGTAATTTGAAAAGAGGTTTAGTTGGCTCGTGGTTCTGCAGGCTTTACAGGAAGCATGGCCCTGCTCAACTTCTGGGAGGAGCTTTTATTCATGGTGGAAGGCGAAGGAGCAGCAGGTACTTTACATGGTGAAAGTAGGAGCAAGAGAGAGTAGGGGGCGCAGGGAGGTGCCACAGAGTTTCAAATGACCAGGTCTCATGAGAACTCACTCACCATCATGAGGATAACACCAAGAGAATGGGGCTAAACCACTTATGAGAAAACAGCTCCCATGATCCATTTACTGCCCACCAGGCCCACCTCCAACACTGGGGATTACGATTCAACATGAGATTTAGAGGGGACACATATCCAAGCTATATCATACAGCCACTATGGAAAACAGTATGGTAATTTCTCAAAACATTAAAAATAGAATTGCCATATAATACAGCAATTCTATTTCTAGGTATATACCCAAAAGAATTGAAAGTAAGAATGCAAACTGATGGTTTTATGCCCATGTTCATAGCAGCATTATTCACAATAATCAAAAGGTGGAAGCAACCCAGTGTCCATCAATATATGAATGGATAAACAAAATGTGGTATATGTATACAATGGAATATTATTCAGCCTTAAAAAGGGAGGACATTGGGCTGGGCACAGTGGCTCATGCCTGTAATCCCAGCACTTTCGGAGGCCAAAGTGGGTGGATCACCTGAGGTCAGGAGTTCAAGACCAGCCTGGCCAACATGGTGAAACCCCATCTCTACTAAAAATACAAAAATTAGCCAGGTGTGGTGGTGAGTGCCTGTAATCCCAGCTACTCAAGAGGCTGAAGCAGGAAAATCCTTGAACCCCCAAGGTAGAGGTTCCAGTGAGCCGAGATCATGCCACTGCACTCCAGCCTGAGATACAAGAGCGAAACTCCGTCTCAAGAAAATAATAAAATAAATAAAAAGGAAGGACTCTCTGTCATATGCTATAACTTCGAAGAACCCTAAGGACATTATGCCAAGTAAAATAAGCCAGTCACCAAAACACAAATATTGTATGATTTAACTTACATGAGGTATTGAGAGTAGTCAAGTTGACAGAAACAAAGCAGTGGTGGTTGCCAGTAGCTGCAGCTAGAGGGAATGAAGAGTTGTTATTTAGTATAGAGTTTAAGCTTTGCAAGATGCAAAGGTTCTGAAGAGTTGTTGCGCAATATGAATACACTTAATACTACTGAACTATACACTTAAACATGGTTAAGGTGGTAAATTCTATTTTATGTGCTATTTTACCACAATTAATTTTTTTTCTAAAAATACTAGAGGTATATTGTAAGACTTAGCTGTGTGTGGCTTGTATTTAAGCTTATGGAAAGAGTATATATTAAGAAGACAGCTGGCCAGAACCTGAGTTCTGGGACATTCCAACATTTAGAAGTCAGGGAGAGGAAGAGGATGTGTTAAAGGGAACTGAAAATAAGTAGTCAGAGAGGTAAGAGGATAACCAGAAGAATAGGGTATACAGGAAGCAAGGTGATCGATTAGATGTGTCGTAATGCCGAAGAGGCGAGTAGAGTAAGGATGGGCACTTGAGCACTGATTTTGGCAAGGTGATTTTCTTGGTGACCTTAGCTAGAGATGTTTCAATTCCATTATAGGAGTTGAATTCCATTATGGGAGTGGATTACAGAGAAAATGGCTAATTTATACAGTCATTTGATTTAAAACAAAGGTAAGGAAATGATGGTCTTTTCAGTAAATGATACTGAGTAAACTGGGTTTCTGGAAAAATAGGAGGGTTGATTCTGACCTCACACCAGGAAATATAGTCCAGGTGGATTATAGATCTCAATAGGAAAGGTAAAATAGTTAAATTTCTGGAAGATAATATGAGTTTATTTTCATAACCTTGGGATTGGATTACTTAAAATTAAGAACTTTTGTTCATTAAAACATATTACTAAGAGAATGGCTGGACCCATTGGCTCACACGTGTAATCTCAGCACTTGGGAGGCCAAGGCAGGTGGATCACTTGAGGTCAGGAGTTTGAGATCAGCTTGGGCAACATGGCGAAACCCCATCTCTACTAAAAATGCAAAAATTCGCCAGCCGTGGTGCCACACACCTGTAATCCCAGCTACTTGGGAGACTAAGGCAGGAGAATCACTTGAACCTGGAGGCAGAGGTTGCAGTGAGCTGAGACTGTGTTACCGCACTCCAGTCTGGGTGACAGAACAAGACTCCAGCTCGGAAAAAAAAAAATTTTATATATATATATATATATATATATATACACACACACACACATACACACATGTATATATCACTAAGAGAATGAAAGTGGCCAGTGCCAGTCCTAGAGTGGGAGAAGACATCTGTAATACATAAGCTGGTCATATATAGAACTTACAAAGAATTTCTATAAATCATTAAGAAAAGACAACCCAGAAATCACCCACATGTCCAATTTACTGATGAATGGATAAACAAAATGTGGTATATCCATACAATGAAATATTATTCATAAAAAGGAATAAATGCTACAACTTGGCTAAACTTGAAAACATGCTGAGTGAAAACAGCAAAACCCAAAAGGTCATATATTATATGATTCCATTTATATAAAATGTCCAGAATAGGCAAATTCAGAGACCTAAAACAGACTAGTAGTTGCCAGAGTGGGGGAAAGATGAAAGTGGGAAGTGACTATGAGTGTGAGGTTTTTTTTGGAGTGATGCAAATGTTGTGGAATTAGATGGTGGTGACGGTTGCATATCATTGAGAATCTACTAAAACTTACTGAATTGTGTGCATTAAAATGGTGAATTTTATGTTACATGAATTTTACATTAAAAATAAATGTAAAAATCAAAGGCCTGGATGGCAGTTTATTGAAGATATCCAGTTGGCCAGTAAACACATGAAAAAGTGCTCAGCTTCATTTGTCCTCATGGAAATTGCAAATTACACTACAATGTAAACATATATGCCTGATGGCTAAACAAAAGATTGACAATAACAAGCGTTGGTGAGGATGTAAAGAACAGGAGTTCTCTGACAGCCTGATGGAATTTTAAATTAGAAATATTTTTTTTATGACAGAGTCTCGCTCTGTCACCTAGGCTGGAGTGCAGTGGTGCAATCTTGGCTCATTGCAACCTCCACCTCCTGAGTTCAAGCAACTATCCTGCCTCAGCCTCTTGTGCAGCTGAAATTACAGGGATCCACCACTATGCCCAGCTAATTTTTCTATTTTTAGTAGAGATAGGGTTTCACCATGTTGACCAGGCTGATTTTGAACTCCTGACCTCAAGTGATCTGCCCATCTCAGCCTCCCAAAGTGCTGGGATTACAAGTGTGAACCACCACGCCTGGCCTAAATTTAAAAATTGTTGCATAGTGTCAACTAAAGCTGAATAAATTTATATCCTATGATGTAGCAGTTTCACTCCTATGTGCATACTTAACAGAAAAGAGTAATTAATTCCACCAAAAGAAATGTACAAGAATGTTCATAGCACTACTTATCATAATAGTCAACTATAGGAAGCAACCAGAATGTCCATCATAAGGTGTATGGAAAAATAAATTGTGTTAGAATGGAATGCTATATACAGTGATCAGTCTCAAACTTTTTTTCCTCTGGATGTCTTTATGCTCTTAAAAATTATTGAGGACCCCAAGAGCTCTAGCATATGTAGATTGTATCTTTCAATATTAACTGTCTTAGAAATTAAATCTAGGAAAAATGAAATATTTATTTAATTCATTTAAAAATAGTAAACTACATGTTAAATAATATATGATATTTTCCAAAACAAAACAAAAATATTTAGTGTGAAAAGTGGCACTGTTTTTCAATTTCTGCACATTTCTTTAATGCTTGGATTAAAAGAAGATAGCTAGATCTCACATCTGCCTCTGAATTTATTAAATTAAAAGTTACTAGTCCATCTTGTTCTTTGAATCGAACTATTATCTATGGTACCTGTTTTGTAACATGATGCATTAGTTATTTGGAAAATATTGCTTCAATTAGTTATGCAGATCTTCCAGACTTTGACACATTTTCTTATAAAATAGCCAAAAAATTATATTCATTAAAAACACCACTAATCTAATCACAGAAGTCTTGAAGTATTTGGAAGCTGTCAGGCACACAGGGACTGATACAAACTTTCCTGAAGTCTTAATTTTGGCTGGGAGCAGCAGCTCACACCTGTAATCCAAGCACTTTGGGAGGCCAGGCGGATCAACCTGAGGCCAGGAGTTCAAGACCAGCCTGGCCAACATGGTGAAACCCTGTCTCTACTAAAAATACAAAAATTAGCCAGGCATGGTGGCATACCTGTAATCTCAGTTACTTGGGAGACTGAGACAGGAGAATCACTTGAAGCACGAGGTAGAGGTTGCACTGAGCTGAGATCAGGCCATTGCACTCCAGCCTCGGTGACAGAGCAAGACTCCATCTCAAAAATCCAAAAAAAAAAAAAAAAAAAAATCTAATGTTTACTTGTAAACTAGAATTGTGTCATTGGCAAATACAGTCAGTTTTTCTTAAAGTGAGAGATTAATTTTTCAGTTTGCCAATATGTCTGCCAAGTCTGAATCACCATAGTTTAGCAATCTGTTAATCACCACAGCTTATCCATCTGTTCTTTCAAGTAAAAATTGAATTCCATGCAAAAAAGTGGCTAATTTGGCTTGCAACTAGAACAATCAAGTGCATGCTTTTTTTCAAAACAATTCTACTTTGGTCTCCAGCAGAGGCCAGTTTCATCACATGGAATATTAAAAAGATGTGTGTGGAAGTGCTGAGATTTAATAAAACTAATAATGATTGCTGTTCATTGTAAGTATTCTTAAGTGAATCTGGCACTTTTTTCCTGCAAGTCATGACTGAAGAAAGCAGTGACTATGTACAGCTTGGGGCCACTGCTTTGATTCAGGCTAAGGCACCAGCAGTTTTACTCTCCATTGCTTTTTGTACAAATACTAACATTTTCCAGGATAAATCACGAGATTCAAAAACGTTATTAATGTGAACATTTAGCACCACACTGTTTGTTACCAAGCATTTACATAAAAGAGCGTCCTCTTTAATGATTAATTGGCACTAAGTGAATACAAGGAAAACACCAAGTCTAGCTATGTAGATTAATCCATCTGTAAAACATAAGTACAATTCAGTCTTTCTGTTTGCAGCTTAATCTGTAATTTGAGTTATTATTTAATTTGGAAATTGTACTTTTGTGAGCCTCAGCCTACTGGGCTCAAGCAATCTACCACCTCAGCCTCCCAAGTAGCTAGGAGGTTGAGGCCTATAATCCCAGCACTTTGGGAGGTCGAGTTGGGTGGATCATGTGAGGTCAGGAGTTTGAGACTAGCCTGGCCAACATGGTGAAACCCTGTCTCTACTGAAAATACAAAAAGTAGTCGGGCGTGGTGGCCCGTGCCTGTAGTCCCAGCAACTCAGTAGGGTAAGGCAGGAGAATCGCTTGAACTTGGGAGGTGGAGGTGGCAGTCAGCCGAAATTGCACCACTGCACTCCAGCCTGGGTGAGAGTGAGACTCTGTCTTAAAAAAAAAAAAAGCCACCAAAAATAGTCACAGTCATAGAAGCAGAGAGCAGAATGATGGTTGCCAGCGGAAGGGGAGGGGAAATGGGGAGATGTTGGGCAGGGGGTATAAAGCTTCACTTATGCAAGATGAGTGGGTTCTGAAGATTTGACATAATATATTATGACCCTAGTTGGCAGTACTGTATTGTATTGTATACTTGAAATGCGCTGAGTGTTAAGTGTTCTCATCACAATAAAAAGAAAATGGTTAACTATGTAAGGTGATGAATATGTTAGCTGATTATGGTGATTATTTCACATTGTAAATGTCTATCAAATCATCAGGTTGTACACTTTAAATATATGGAATTTTAATTGTCAATTTTCCCTCAATAAAGTGGGGAAAAAAATATTGAGACATTTAACTATGAATGCTATAATTAATATTTTTATATATTGGTGCTATGTGCTAATAGAACAAAGAATTTATTAAATAGGTAAACATTTTTAAAATTTTTATTGTGTTATAAATAACATGAAATCTACCCTCTTAGTGGATTTTTAGGTGTACAATACAGTGTTGTCAAGTGTGGGCACAGGATTGTACAACAGATCTTTTTTGTTGTTGAGACAAGGTCTCGCTCTGTTACCCACGCCGGAGTGCAGTGAAGTAATCACAGCTCACTGCAGCCTGGACCTCCCAGGCTCAAGCAATCTTCCCACCTCAGCCTCCCAACTAGCTGGGACCACAGGTACACACCAGTATACCCAGCTAAATTTTTTTTTTTTTTTTTGAGACGGAGTTTCGCTCTTGTTACCCAGGCTGGAGTGCAATGGCGCGATCTCGGCTCACCACAACCTCCGCCTCCTGGGTTCAGGCAATTCTCCTGCCTCAGCCTCCTGAGTAGCTGGGACTACAGGCACGCGCCACCATGCCCAGCTAATTTTTTGTAGTTTTAGTAGAGACGGGGTTTCACCATGTTGACCAGGATGGTCTTGATCTCTTGACCTCGTGATCCACCCGCCTCGGCCTCCCAAAGTGCTGGGATTACAGGCTTGAGCCACCATGCCCGGCCTTAAATTTTTATTTTTGTATTTTTTTAGTAGAGACAAGGTCTTACTATGTTGCCCAGGCTGTTCTCAATCTCCTGGACTCAAGTAGTCCTCCCATCTCAGCCTCCCAACATGCTGGGATTACAGATGTGAGCCACCCACACTAGATTTTTTAATAATAAAAGTAGTCTCAGGCCGGGCGCGGTGGCTCAAGCCTGTAATCCCAGCACTTTGGGAGGCCGAGGCGGGTGGATCACGAGGTCAAGAGATCGAGACCATCCTGGTCAACATGGTGAAACCCCGTCTCTACTAAAAATACAAAAAATTAGCTGGGCATGGTGGCACGTGTCTGTAGTCCCAGCTACTCAGGAGGCTGAGGCAGGAGAATTGCCTGAACCCAGGAGGCGGAGGTTGCGGTGAGCCGAGATCGCGCCATTGCACTCCAGCCTGGGTAACAAGAGCAAAACTCCGTCTAAAAAAAAAAAAAAAAAAGAAAAAAAAAATAATAAAAGTAGTCTCAAAAAAAAAACAAACAAACAAACCCTGGCCAGGCACAGTGGCTCATGCCTCTAATCCCAGCACTTTGGGAGGCCGAGGTGGGCGGATCACTTGAGACCAGGGGTTTGAGACCAGCCTGAGCAGCATGGGGAAACCCCATCTCTAGTAATAATACAAAAAAATTAGCCACTGTGGTGGCACACACCTGTAATCCTAGCTACTTGGGAGGCTGACACAGAGAACTGATTGAACTCAGGAGGCAGTGGCTACAGTGAGCCAAGATTACGCCACTGCACTCCAGACTGGGCCACAGAGCAAGACTCCATCTAAAAAAAAAAAAAAAACTTGCTGGGCACACTGGCTCACTCCTGTAATCCCAGCACTTAGGGAGGCCAAGGTGGGCAGATCACCTGAGGTCAGGAGTTTGACACCAGCCTGGCCAACATGGTAAAACCCCATCTCTACTAAAAGTACAAAAATTAGCTGGATGCAGTGGCACACACCTATAATCCCAGCTATTTGGGAAGCTGAGGCAGGAGAATTGCTTGAACCTGGGAGGTGGATGTTGCAGCGAGCCAAGATCATGCCACTGCACTCCAGCCTGGGTGACAGAGTGAGACTCCATCTCAAAAAAATTTTTTTCAAGTACAAGAAATACATATTCTCTTTTTATTATATAATAAAATATTATTATAAAATGAAATATTTATTATTTTGTTTCCATGTAGGTACATGGAAAACTTGGGGATTTCACAATAATTTCTTAGACAATAATGAGGTTACGTAAAAGCAGGTATAAATAAATACAGTTTTTAAGAGCACAGTAGAAGTACTGGTAACAAAGCTAATCTCTGAAAGTACACATTTATTCTCCAAACCTACTACTCCAGAAACTTCTATAATACACAGAAATACATAATCACATATTCTGTTAGATTTCAGAATGTGATATCATCACACTTCTAGTAGTCTCATAGTAAGAGAATAAGTGAAAAAAGGTAAATGTCTCAGGATTAGTATGAAAATAGCTTTGACCTTATAGACTTCCTGAAAGGGTCTCAGGTACCCTCCGCAGTCTTTGGACCACCCATTGAGTACTGCTGCTATATAGTAATGAAAATGAAGAAACTACTACTGAACCCGGGAGGCAGAGGTTGCAGTGAGCCAAGATCGCTCCACTGTATTCCAGCCTGGGCAACAGAGTGAGACTCTGTCTCAAAAACAAAACAAAACAAAAAACAAAACAGCTCTCCAAGCCTTTTCTGTCTCGTGAATTATTTGCAGTTATCTCTCATTGCTGCCATAGATATTTTATTTCTCTTATGGTACAAAATCAGGAGTTAAAATATATTTCTTATCTTTCAGACTTGGCATCCAGAGATGAGCCACAGAAATTATCTCCAAAAAGAGATATTTGTGAAACAGAATTATCCCAGTGGGTTAACATGGAAGAATTTGAAAGCTGTAATCTTGAGAGATCCATTTTTAGAGATATCTGGGAAGGCAACTGTCATTTTGAGCAACATCAGGGACAAAAGGAGGGCTATTTTAGACAATTTTTGATTAACCATGAGAACATGCCCATTTTTAGCCAACATACTTTACTCACTCAAGAATTTTATGATAGAGAGAAAATCTCTGAATGTAAAAAGTGTAGAAAAAACTTCAGTTACCATTTACTTTTTAGTCACCACAAAACTCATTCTGAAGAACTTTCTGAATGTAAAGAATGCACAGAAATTGTTAATACACCATACCTTTTTAAACAACAGATAATTAAAAATGGTGACAAATGCAATGAGTGTAAAGAATGTTGGAAGGCCTTTGTTCATTGCTCACAACTTAAACAACATCTAAGAATTCATAATGGTGAAAAACGCTATGAATGCAACGAATGTGGGAAGGCCTTTAATTATGGCTCAGAACTTACTCTACATCAAAGAATTCACACTGGTGAGAAACCTTATGAATGTAAAGAATGTGGGAAAGCCTTTAGACAGCGATCACAGCTTACTCAACATCAGAGACTTCATACTGGTGAAAAACCCTATGAATGTAAGCAATGTGGTAAAGCTTTTATTCGTGGCTTTCAACTTACTGAACATCTGCGACTCCATACTGGTGAGAAACCTTATGAATGTAAAGAATGTGGGAAGACTTTTAGGCATCGCTCACATCTTACTATACATCAGAGAATTCACACTGGTGAGAAACCCTATGAATGTCGGGAATGTGGGAAGGCCTTTAGCTACCACTCAAGCTTCTCTCACCATCAGAAAATTCATTCTGGCAAGAAGCCTTATGAATGTCATGAATGTGGGAAGGCTTTTTGTGATGGCTTACAACTAACCCTACATCAGAGAATTCATACTGGTGAGAAACCCTACGAGTGTAAGGAATGTGGGAAGACTTTTAGACAGTGTTCACACCTCAAAAGACATCAGAGAATTCATACCGGTGAGAAACCTCATGAATGTGTGATATGTGGCAAGGCCTTTAGACTTCATTCACACCTTATTCAACATCAAAGAATTCATACTGGTGAGAAACCCTATGAATGTAAGGAATGTGGGAAAGCCTTTAGCTATCATTCAAGCTTCTCACACCATCAGAGAATTCATTCTGGGAAGAAACCGTATCAATGTGGGAAGGCGTTTAATCATGGATTACAACTTAACTTACATCAGACCCTTCATACTGGTGAGAAGCCAGTCACATTTCCTCTCCTCCCTCCCCATCCTAGTCTAGCATCATGAAATTTGTTGATGGAAATATACATTGTCTTTGTTTTATTTAAGGAAAAAGTTGATAAGCTACCATGTTTCATTAGTATTGATTTATTTAACTAATCCTTGAAAACCAAATGTTTTTAAGTGAGAAAATGGAAAAGTAATTAAGGTATAAATTTTGCTCTCATTTTAATGCTGTTTTTGAGTTACTGTATTAACTATTATTGAGAATAAATCTTCTAAAATTACGTTTCACTAAAAACAGTGAAATATAGCATAAATAAAATGAAAACAATTTCCTCCCCTCCCACAAATCTCTGAGATAACTAGTATGTTAATTTTTTCTTCCATTATGCTCAAACAACTTGTACACAGAAAGCGTTTGTTGCATGTGTTTGGAGGAGGTTTTACCCCTGTATGGACATTTTAGTGTCTTGTCCTTTTCACAATAATCATGAATACTTTTCCAGCTCAGTACATAAAGATGTAACCATCTTTAAGCTTCAGAATATTTCTAGAATGGAATGTATGTCAGCATTTTGAGCCATCACCTACTATAGACATTCAAGTTGTTTCTGATTTTCACCTGGAACTCTCATGCAGTAAACATTCTTACCTTCTTTTGTTTCTGTTGAGCAAATTCCAAACAGTGGGATTAAAGAATATCTGGTGTATGTATTCTGAGATTACATTTATCTTTTAAAACATTTTAATTTTTTTGTTAATAAAAGCACACATTATAAAAATTCAAAAATTGCCAAAAATGTGAAAATTAAATGTCCCCTAATATTCAGTTTTGTAACCACTCACTTTTTCTCCACAGGTGCAACAAGTACTATCAGTTTCTTTTTTTCTAACAGGAATATTCCAAGTAAATTTTGTAAATTCTTCAGACAAAAGTACATTATTCATAATATGTGATTTATTACACAGTCTTATCATTAGTGCACATTGGCCCACTTTATTTCATTATTTTTTGAGACAGGGTCTAGCTTTGTCACCCAGGCTGGAGTGCAATGGTGCAATCTTGGCTCACTGTAACCTCTACCTCCCAGATTCAAACAATTCTCCTGCCTCAGCCTCCTGAGTAGCTGGAACTACAGGCATACACCACCATGGCCTGCTAATTTTTGTATTTTTAGTAGAGACAGTGTTTCACCATGTTGACCAGGCGGGTCTTGAACTTCTCACCTCAGATGATCCACCTGCCTCAGCCTCCCAAAGTGCTTGGACTGCAGGTGAGAGCCACTGTGCCCAGCCCACTTCATTTTTTTTTTTTTTTTTTTTTTTTGAGACAGGGTCTCACTCTGTTACCCAGACTGGAGTGCAGTGGTGCAATCTCAGCTCACTGCAAGCTCCACCTCCCGGGTTCAAGCAATTCTCCTGCCTCAGCCTCTCAAGTAGCTGGGATTATGGGAACTTGCCACCACACACGGGTAATTTCTGTAATTTTAGTAAAGACAGGGTTTCATCATGTTGGTCAGGCTGGTCTTGAACTCAACCCTGTGATCTGCCCACCTTGGCCTCCCAATTTGCTGGGATTACAGGTGTGAGCCACCGCTCCTGGCCACCTGCTTCATTTTTAATATGTCCCAGGAATTTTAAAACTCTGTGGTAACTATCAATTTACTGTCTCTCAACTCTGAATCCTTCATTGCCTGCTCTGCAGTATTGGAACTGGATTCTGTGAACATTTCTCCTTTGTCACCTGGCATGATGTTACTCTCTGCCAGCAGAGTTGGGGAGGACACTAGAGGAGGAGGGTTTTTTCTCTTCCTAGGTTTGTTTCACTCTTATCAGGCTCCTGTAGTGCCTGCAGCAGTAACCCTTGGCTCCTGTAGTATGACCTCCAGCAGCACCGGCCTCTAACATGCACTTGGGTGGCTTCACAGTGAGTAATAAGGGGTAGTCATCTCTGAAGCTGGCTTTTGCCATCTACCCAGAGGTTGACTTCCTGAAAGTCCTACCTCTCTGCCATTCTGAACCATGTCTATGCCCTTTCGAAGAAGGCCTAGATTTTGGCCCTATGGGAGAATTGGCTATTTTGAGTCGGGTATCTCAGTCCATGCTTTCTAGGGTCGATTGTGACTACCAGTTTCTTTTGTATTCCATGAATATTCTAGGTAAAATTTTTAAATCCTTTGGACAAAAAGTAAACAATAACTTCATTAACACTGTATTATATGGTGGATTTATATACGTTTATACTTAAGAGATTTATTTTTTAATTCCTCAATCTAAGAATTCACATCCTTCATTGGTTCTCAAAAATTCTCAACTATTTCCACTTAGAATATTCCTCTCCCTCATTCTCTGCCCACTTCTCCCTTCTCTGTCTACCCTCTGAATTATACATTGATCTTTTCCCCACTGTCTTTTTAGAAGGTCTTTTGCTTATTTGCAATTTACTGTCAAGAACAGAACTCCTTGTGTGTACATTTTTTAACATTACATATTTTATATCATGCTATACAATCAAAAGTTTGTTTCAATCAGCTAATAAGTTCTTATAATTAAGTCTCTTTTTGTGATTTAAGGGTAGTTAAGGAGGGAGTGGGGTCAAGGGGGATATGGATGTGGCTATAAAAAGGCAACATGAGGAATCCTTGTGATGATGGAAATGTTCTGTGTTTTGACCCAATGTCAACATCACGCTTGTGATATACAGTTTTTCAAGACAATTAGCATTGGGGAAAACTTAGTAAAGGGTACATGGGATCTTTTTGTATTATTATTGCAACTGCATATACTCTAAATTTGTCTCAAAATAAAAACCTTGCCGGGCGCGGTGGCTCAAGCCTGTAATCCCAGCACTTTGGGAGGCCGAGGCGGGTGGATCACGAGGTCAAGAGATCGAGACCATCCTGGTCAACATGGTGAAACCCCATCTCTACTAAAACTACAAAAAATTAGCTGGGCATGGTGGCACGTGCCTGTAATCCTGGCTACTCAGGAGGCTGAGGCAGGAGAATTGCCTGAACCCAGGAGGCAGAGGTTGCGGTGAGCCGAGATCGCACCATTGCACTCCAGCCTGGGTAACAAGAGCGAAACTCCGTCTCGGAGGAAAAAAAAAAACCTTAATATTTTTTAAAGTTAGGAAAGATCATTTCAGACAAATATGGGAATCTCAATTATCAATTTACTGTTATGTAGAACAGGCGACTTTATTATGTTTCCCAATGCAACTCTGAATTACTAGTGATTAGGTTGTCTTTCATTTAAAAAAATGAGACATTCATAGGCTTTGTGTGTGTGTGTGTGTGTGTGTGTGTGTGTGTGAGACAGGGTCTTTGTTGCCGTGGCTGGAGTGTAGTGGCATGATTATAGCTCACTGCAGCCTCATTAGTGGTTACTTGACTGATTTACATTTTTCTATGTTTATACTTTCTGGCTTATATACATTAACATAATGATCTGTTCTTAAAAAGACAAAATATTGACAGAAATTGGATACACACATGCATTAACCTATTCCTTGTGGAAATCAATAATAAACATAGTATATTCTTTGTTGTTTTTTTTTTTTTTTTTTTGAGATAGAGTCTTGCCCTGTCACCCATGCTGGAGTGCAGTGGCAGGATCTTGCAACCTCTGCCTCCTGGGTTCAAGAAATTCTTCTGCCTCAGCCTCCCAAGTAGCTAGGACTGCAGGCACATGCCACCATGCTAAGCTATTTTTGTGTGTATTTTAGTAGAGATGGGGTTTTACCATGTTGCCCAGGCTGATCTCAAACTCCTGAGCTCAGGCAATCCGCCCGTCTCAAGCCTCCCAAAGTGCTGGGATTACAGGTGTGAGCCACTGTGCCAGCCTATATGCCTTCTTTGATTACAACTATTATAAACTTTATATTTCTCTCTTGAGTGTGATTATAAACTCATACTCAACTTGTCTCAATAAGATATATTTATTCTTTTTTTTTTTTTTTTTTTGAGAGAGAGTTTCGCTCTTGTTGCCCATGCTGAGTGCAATGGCATGATCTTGGCTCACTGTCACCTCTGCCTCCCAGGTTGAAGTGATTCTCCTGCCTCAACCTCCCAAGCAGCTGGGATGACAGTCACTCACCACCACACCTGGTCAAATTTTTGTAATTTTAGTAGAGATGGGGTTTCACTATGTTGGCCAAGCTGGCCTCAAACTCCTGACCTCAGGTGATCCAACTGCCTCAGCCTCCCAAAGTGCTGGGATTATAGGCATGAGCAACCTTGCCTGGCCAATAAGGTAGATTTATTCTTATTTGATGTGGATGAAAACTGTTAAAAACACAACCAATGGATAATGTTAACATGCTTTCTAACATGCACAATGCTAGAGCCAGGAATCATCTTATACCATCTTTTTATCCTTGCCACAACAAAATGTTCCTCATCCATCCTGATTTTTTATCTTTCCATAAGATAGCAATCAACACACATATAATACCAGCACTTTGGCTGAAGTGGGTGGATTGTTTGAGCTCAGGAGTTTGAGACCAGCCTAGGCAACATGGCAAAACCATGTCTCTATAAAAAATACAAAAATTAGCTGGGCATGGTGGAACACGCCTATAGTCCCAGCTACTTGGGAGGCTGAGGTGGAAGGAGTTCAAGGCCACAGTGAGTGGACATTGCTCCACTGTACTCCAGGCTGGGCAACAGAGCAAGACCCTGTCTCAAAAAAAAAAAAAAAATAGGGCAGGCTTGGTGGTTCCTCACACCTGTAATCCCATCACTGTGAGAGGCCAAGGTGGGTGGATCACCTGAGGTCAGGAGTTCAAGGCCAGCCTGGCCAACATGGCGAAACTCCATCTCTACTAAAAATACAAAATTAGCCAGGCATGGTGGCACACACTTGTAACCCCAGCTACTCAGGAGGCTGAAGGAGGAGAATTGCTCCAACCCAGGAGGCAGAGCTTGCAGTGAACTGAGATTGTGCCACTGTACTCCAGCCTGAGCAAGAGTGAGACTCCGTCTCAAAAAAAAAATTGAACAATCAACTACTCTCTGAGGAGTCTTGTACTTTTGCTATAGTGTTTTGTATTTAATGTTATTTAATAGTATTTTATATTCAATTAAATACTATTTAATAGTATTAAATATAAAAATCTGTGTAGTGAGTTAGGGGTATATGGTAGTTAGTGGTAGACAAAAGTGTTGCTGCTGCTGTGTGGCCACATTTGATGGTGTAAGGGGCTGGCAAACATTTTTTTAAGATTATATTGTATTTATATTATGTAGTATGAATTATTTCTGACATCAGAGAATTTTATCTCATGGAATCATGTTTGGTGTAGATTATTTAAAATGTTGACAGCTGATTTATG